GGATTTGCCGAGAGACTCACGCACGCTATTTCGATATGACAATTCAACCGGAGAGAGAGAGAATGAATATCGGGGACGTCGCGGACTATTCGCACGCTCACTATCGATAAACTCACCGCGCTCGCTGCGCGGGATCGCACGCAAATATCAACAACTAGTGCAGTGCACCTACCGCGAAATCGAAGGGGATACGGTGGCCAACCGTATCCGTCTAACGCTGGACGAAGAACTGCCGCTGCGCCTACTTCTCCGCCGGAGCTGTCTCGTTGCTGTTGACGTTGATGTGGTTGCTCTCGTCGTTGCCGAGGCCGCGCACGTTGAGCAGTGCGCGCACTCGGCACTTCACTCGAAGCAGTTATCAACGGTGTCGGAGCCACACACGTTGCGCAGTGTGTGCTCGTTTCACTGTACTGATTGTCGCTGACAGTTGTTGATGCACACGTTGCGCAGTGTGCACCCACCTCCACACTCACTACACTGTACTTGACTCCCTGGACCTCACTCGCAAACAAAGGACTCGATGTTGCCTCTAACTTGTATGCGATGTAGCCCTACTGAAGGACACAGTCATACTAGCTAGCTAACTCTCCCCTCCCGGTCATTGCCCCTAACGCGCCCTCTCTCTCTCTCTCAAACCGATCGCGGCTGTTACGCTCAGCCGCTTAGTAATCCACGCGAATCTAAACGATTTTCGGCAATCGTTGCAAATGTTAATTATTTGATTAAATGTGATTAAAATTATATTGTTTTAAAATATATTCCATTAAATGCGATGAAATATTATGTTTCATTAGAAAATATTCAAAGGTATTTAAGTAGACTAATTTAAATATTATTAATAGTTTCATTGAAAGCGTCAAATTAATCCCAATTTTTAGATGTAATTGTGTTTAGGATTTAATTGTTTTAAAAAAGATTTATTTTTAATCTTAGCTTGAATCGGGTTAGATTATTAGGTTATTGGAAATCATTCATTTCATTAAAAATGATTGAAAATGATTGAAGTTCAATCCATTTCAATGATTTGCAATAGATCGTTTTTAGCAGGGCGTATATTGATTACGCTAAAAAATATTGTAGAAATATTAAAAGGTATTGATACAAAAAAGATACATATTCATGATAAATAATAAAAACTAGATAATATTCAATAAAAAAGTAATAATGAAAATAGTAATAATAAAATATATAAATAATTAGGGTTATTGGGTTATATATGTATGATTAGAAAGTTATTTATATTATTTTATTGTGACCATTGAATTTGAAAATGCATTGAAATTCAAGGCTTCAAACTTTTGAATATAGAACCGATCCTTAAACCAAGAGAACCTATTATTTATGTAATTATTTTTTTTGTAACAGTACAATAAACTAAAAGATAACGAGTACAATAATATTATATTATAAAACACTAGTCTGATTCAGTCTTTGAATCAATAGTTTTCATAAAATTTATATAATTCATATATCAAAAGTTTTGAATCATTAAAATCAAGTAAGAAATCAATGGTATTCTCAGCTCGAAATACTTTAAACGTTTTGAAGTGAGTAAAGCAAATTTATAAAAAAATAGATTTGATATGAAACAAACAAAAAGAAAATAATAATAAGTTCAAACACTCTGTCTGTATTCGACCAAATTATTACTAATGGGAAAATGAATCAAGAACATAAGGAAAGTATGTAATCAATAACAAACTTATTAAATTTTGTGGAATACTTACATCATCACGTATAAGGCAGCGATTGTGGACATCTGAATATGCATGAGATTCATTGCTGCAATCTAAACAAAATAAATATTCTTAATAATAATCTGTAAAATCTTACAACGTTAATTAATAGATCATAATTATTACATAGTAAAAAAAATATTTCTATGAATTAAAAAATATATTTTGGCAATTGAAAAATCTTTATTTAAATTGAGAAATATCTAGCTAAGATAAAATGTATTATTTTGATGCTAGACATTGGCAGGTAATTTAAAAAATTTTTATTGAAACTTCAATCTATGAGAACTTAACTGTAGTACTATACCTGAATTTATTTGAGCGTCATCCATATTGAAATCTAATTGTTCATTTGGAACATTACTGCTTACAGGTGATATATCTGAAATACATAATATCATAATAATTAATTTCTATAAATGAAATTGCTCACATGAAATTGAAATTGACAAGTATTTCCATGATGAATTTCTTACCATTTAGAAATGATAGATAATCTGATTTTTCACTATCAGATTGTCTTAAACTCTTCATAATACTGTCGGTATCATTCTCTGAACTACTATAAATATGCACTGTATTGTCTGTTGAAATAGAATCAACATAATCAGCCACAACACTCTCATCACTTCCACTGAGTGACATAACCGTGCTTTCATTACTATCTGTATTCATGTTTATAATTATCCTCACATTCAACGATTTTAATGACAATTTATGCCGACAAATTATTCAAATTATTTGAACAAAGAATGATAGATTTAGAAACAGAAATTTTTACCGAGTTACACTATGGATGCTATACATTAGGTATACAAATTATTCGTGTGCTATCTGCATAGTTTAGCAACGAATATAGACGCTAAGCTTCTAAACATCTATAAAGTTTTTAGTATCGATGGTATACCTCAGTATGTCCTCTTCACTATCGTCTGTTTATCGGAAGAGCTTAAAAATCAATAGGAGAAGCGCATCTATGTATATTGCCACGTCCGCGTTCTGTGGCTCCTCTCCTGCTCTAAAATTCTACCGTTCGTAGTCACTTACAATTAGTTAGTGTTATAAGGTGGCCTGGGAAAAGTTTCTATTTTTCCCAGGCCACCTTTCAACTGTCTTAAAAAAAAAGAATAGAGTGCTAATTTGTTTTTTTGTTATTTAACAAACTTGGTAAATACTTTATTAATTCAATCTTCATTAAATAAAAATATTGTTTAATTATTTATTTTTAATGTCTATACGAATTTTTGCATAATAATGATCAACACAGATTCTGGCTCGAGTCATTGGCTATTAGTACTATCTAGCATATATATATATATATATATTTTTAATATTATATCACTTAACACACAACGATTGGAATAACGATCTTTGGTAGTATGGATGCAAACAGATTCGGGCTCGAGTCATTGGCTATTAGTCTATCTAGCATATATATATATATATATATATATATATATATATATATATACAGTAACGTTTGATTCTTCCAGTAAGAGGAAAAAGTAACGAAGGACGAAAGGCTGTCAAAGGAGGCTTTTCTTTTGTCTTTCGTCATTACTCATTTCTACTTTCGTTCAACAATAGCAATTTGAAAATTCTTTTTCTTTTGTTAGGAATATCAGTGTCATAGTTTTTAATAATTCTGTATTGATAGAAATATATTTTAAATATGAAGCCTGGTTATTATGCCAAAATTAAATTTATAGACGATCATGTTCGTGAGGTAAAACCGGCAAACGAAATTTTAGAATTTCCAATCGAACCCAGATTCAATACAATTGATTGATAAAGATGCAGTTTACACTACTTTATGGAAAAATGAAAAAATGTTATAACCTATTGAAGTTGGCATCCAAATTGCTGATATAAAAAGTAAGTTTTTATTATTTTTTAAATATAATTTAAAATAATATCATTCATATTTACATTATGTCAGTTTATAGTTTATAGTATAGCTTTATAGTATACTATATTTAATTTTTAGTGTTAACAAATGAAGATGAATTGAAAGAGTTTAAGCAAAAAAGAGGAGTTTTTAGTATACTTAACCAATCAGTTTTAAATAGATATTACGACGACAGTGATGATAACAAACATGAAAATGACACTGATTCTGAAAATGATATTTTTAAGGAAAATAATCCATCAAAAATAAAGAACAAAAAAGAATTCAAAGGAAAAGAGAGAAGTAAAAAAAAGAGATAAGTTCAATCATTTTGCATTCCACTGAAAAGAGTGGGTGATTGAATTATTTAGAATTAGAAAAATATAAATGACTTGTTGTATATTCCTAATAATATGGACAATAAGATAATCAATTTATTTTCTAGATTCGTGATACTGAAATCCAAAAACAGCTTCTACAAGCTAAACTAACAAACTTTGTTCATACAAAAACTTCATCGTTAGATTATAAAGAAGATAGAGATTATGGAAATATAGAAGAGGTTTCAGTTCAAGTGAGACATGAAAAGCAATCAAATGTAAGTCTATTACAGAAAAAAATTGTAAAATTAGAAGAATGTTTAGCTTTTAAAATGAACCAGACAAGATTACAAAATAATATAGATATATTGAATGAACGTTTGGAAACATATAAAATCATAAATGAAAGGTTGTGATAGGTGACAACTCGCGCGAGGCGAGTTTGTCCCGTACGAAGGCCTTTTTAACAGCCGAGCGGCCTTAGACTCGGCCGGCAGTCAGGCTTTCGGGTACCCCGGCCCGTTCGCGCGTCAATAATGATGTTGGGTTATAGGGCAGGTGAAATGAGCAGAGTAAATGAATATCTTTTAACAAAGGATTTATTATCAGCTCTTAACACACGTCCGGCTCTTATGAGGCGTCAGCTCGTACTGGCGTCGCGCTTCGTGCTCTCGCGTAAAGGCGGCGCTGCACAGACACATACATACAGTCAAGGAGAGACGCATACATACACTCATACCTTAACACTCCCTCACGTCGAATCTTGAGTGTTTCAATACAAAATCTTATATTATACATATGGCGTGTACAAACAAACGTTAGGAACTGTGAAATTCGACTAGTGTCAAGCTAATACATTTAGTAAGAGAGAACAATAAACTTATCGAGCTAAATGTCAATACGAACACATTCGTTGCAATTTGAACAGGAACTAGTTAAATTTTAACTATGAGTTAAACAATAGAATCACAAACGTAGTAATTAAGAATTAAATGCAAGAAACAAGTGAAATAAATGAAATTGTATCATAGGATCAAGTCAGTGATTGATTATTTCTCAGTCCCAGCTCTCGTCCTCATCTTGGGCAGTTTGATTACGATTGTACCACTCGGTGGCGTATCCTTCTGTTCGAGTCGGTCGATGTGCATGCGGCACTGGAGCAGTCTCTGGATAGCGATATTCGGTTGCCAGTTTGCTTTCAGTCTGAGCATTCAGATTGAACCGTTCAGCTCTGTCGTTAAGTACTCGTTGATACTCTTCATCTGTCATCATATATCGCGCGTTTTGTCTCGAGTATTCACCTGCAACGAATTTTAGTTAGTTTTGCATAATTATGTTAGTTAAATTTCCGTGAATGAGATAGGACAGCGGTTTCGTAAAAATATCCGCCAACTGATCTTTAGACCCCACCCAGTTTACTTTAACTAAGCCATTCTTTGAACACTCTTTCACATAATGGGCCTTTATTTCTATAACATGTCTTAAAACTTTGCCTCCGTCAAATTCGGTATTTGAAATTGCAGCTTTGTTATCGCAATAAAGGTTCATAGGGTAAACGGTCATAGTAGAGAATTCTTTTAACGTCAAGCTGAGTGCAACTAGCTTTTTACAAGCCTCGCTCATAGCTATGTATTCGGCTTCACAGGTCGACAAAGCTGTGTGAGTTTGTTTTTTAGTTCTCCATGTAATAGTGTCACCGAATAATCTAACTAAATATCCGCAAGTCGTTATAGAGTCTCTACAGTCAGCTAAGCTAGCGTCCGAAATGCATCTAGTCCTTCATCTTTTCCACGATAAATTAGTGATAGATTTTTTGTTAGAACAAGGTATTTTAACAGTCTGTCTATCATTTTCCAGTCATTTTTATTATGATTTAACTGATGTCTACTGATTACATTTCTCGCATAGCAGATGTCCGGTCTAGTCGCGTTTGTTAAGTATAACAGCGAGCCAACTATCTCTCTGTATTTACTAAGTTCATTTACGCTATAGGTCATTTCCTCGTTTTCTCTTTCTCTTCTCTCTCTATTATTTACCTGTGAAGTTACCATTGGCGAGTTTTGCGGATGAGCGTCTTTATACCCGAATTTTTCGAGCATCCTGTCGATAAACTTTGATTGATTAAGTTCTATAGTTTTAGTCTGTCTGTCACGTGTAATAGTTATTCCTAAGTACTTTCTTGGTTCTCCTAAATCTTTCATCTCGAATTTCTCAGCTAATTTAATTTTAAGTTCATCTAACGCTTTTTGATTATTTCCTATCATAATTATGTCATCTACATAAAGTAAAAGAACTATCAATACACTATCAACTATATAAACGAATAGACACGGCTCGTTCCTAGTTGTTTTAAAGTTAAAATCTTTCATTGTGTTGGCGAACAATTCATACCAACTCTTAGGGCTAGTTTTGAGTCCGTACAACGATTTCTTTAATTTGTATATGTATTCTTTTCTTTCTTTATCCGCACTAGGAAAACCGTCGGGTATTTCTATATAAACTTCTCCTATTACGTCACTGTTCAAGAATGCAGTCTTCACGTCCATCTGATACATTATTAAGTCATGTTTATCGGCATATGAAAACATCATTCTAATTAAAGGTAATCGTGTTACGGGTGCATAAGTTTCGCGCAAGTCATAAAAGTTTTTATCTCTGAATCCACGCGCAACTAGTCGTGTTCGTTTTAGTTTAGTACCGTCTACATTTATTTTAGTTTTACAAACCCAGCGAGTATCTATTATATTAGGTCTAGCTGTCGTTGTCGCAATGTCGGCTCTTTTATATAATTCTAAAACATTGTTTTTGATCATTGCATCAATCTCGGTGTCAAATGCAATTTTCCATTCAGCTCGGTCTGGCCTAGCCATCGCTTCTCGGTAAGATTTAGGATCTTGCATAATACCGGCTAAAAGAGCGTGATATTTGATGTCACAGTCTCTGTCATTTTCAGTTTCACCAGACGAGTTATTTAGCGCATACAACACTACCGGTTCTACTGTCTGTGTTTTCCTATGCCTACCTACTTTTCTTCTTTTAGGAGTGGATTCAGTTACTCCCTCAGTTTCTGAGATTTCCTCAGTTTCCTTTTCTTTTTCTTTAATTGGATCGTTTCTTTCTATTATTAAATTTTCAATGTTTTCTTTATCATTTTTATGTTTATCACCATACGTGTACCTTTCCACGAATCTAACTTCACGCGTTTCGATTAACTTTTTAGTGTCGGAATCAAATACTATGTAACCAGTCGGTAGATAGCCTATCAAATATGTTTGTATCGCTCTATCGTCAAGTTTCTTTCCATCAGAGACTAACGCGTAAGTTAAACACCCAAAACGTTTAAGCTGATTAGCATTAATTTTGTGATTTGGCGCGAATAAACTTAAAGGAGACTTCATGTTAATGGTTGAATGCGGACTTTGATTATAAACGTAGGTCGCTACTCCTAACGCTAAGTCCCACATACTCAGTGGAAAACCTGAGTCTAGTAATAACGCTCGCAACCTTTTAGTTATTGTTTGATTAAAACGTTCTACGACCCCATTGTGTTCTGGAGTACCAGGACATACCGCTTGAAGTTCCGCGCCAAATTCCTTAAGCACCTTGAGAGTTTCAGTTCCTGTGAACTCTGTACCCTGATCGCAGCTCAGATAACAAAATTTCGCATCTGTTCGTAAGAGATTTCTCGCTGAAATTATAAACTCTTTAAGTTTACCTGGCACATCGCTTTTGTGCCGTAAGGCATAAGTCATAGCAAACCTAGAGTAACTATCAACGAATGCAACTATAAACCTATACTGTTTAGGGTAAGTTACTGGAGTTATATAACCCATCATTTCAGCGTGAATTCTCAACAGGGGTGCATTTTCCCTATCTCTTATTTTTCTAAACGGAAGTTTGTTCATTTTCGCTCGGAAACATACATCGCATTCTTTTAATCCTTCATCAAAATCACACTTACTAAAGTCCTTGATCTCAGGGTGTGCTTTAGTATATTCTTTTAAATATTTCGCTGACATGTGTGCCAGTCGGGTATGCCAAAGCATGACCGTGTTTAATTTCTTAAGTCTTTCAATTTCGGTCGCTTTGGTGCCTTTCAACTTGTCGTAAGTTGAGTTGCTCGCTTTTACTACCTGTCTATCAAGTAACGTACACAAAAGCCTATTATTTACATTAGAGTGTTCTTTTTCTATTCGTTCGGGCATGGGTTTTCCTTGAGTGACTGTACCGCGACGTGTCGTAATGTTAGCTACTACTGTTTCCTTTTTAGATTGAAAACTTTCTGAATTTAATTTACAAATATTTACAAACACGCTATTAGATTTAGAATTAGTTTCCGAGTTATTATTTACACCTGACATGTCAAGACTTATTTCCCAAAACGGTCGTTTATATAAACCGGAAATTACAGTCTGCCTACTCTTTGGATCATAAATATTTATCCTTTTATTATCAAGATAAATTTTTAAGCCTTTGTCAGCGAATCGTCTAAGCGAGATTAGATTTTTAGCCAAGTCTTTAGCATAAATTACTTTATCTAGTATTACTCTTTTCCCGTCTTTTAAAACTAATTCTACATTGCCACTTCCTTGAAAATTAAACTTCGCATTGTCATTTTTATTCGCGCAGTTAATTACGCTCGTGTCATTCACATCAAGTTCTTTAAACTTAAGTCAAGAGTTAATCATATGGTGACTCGCGCCCGAGTCCGCAAGAGCTACATTATCTGATTCCTTATCTGATTCTACCTCAGATTCACTCACATCACATTCGCAACAGTGTGCCGAGTGTCGCTTACTACTTTTCTTTTTAGTTTGTTTACCCTGATTACTTTTACGCTGCTGAGTAGAGAAAGATGAGTTCTGACGACCTCCACGAGCAGAGCCGCTGCTTCCTCCTCTCCCACGTCCACTCTGTCCTGAGTATAAATTTCCAGGTTCAGAACTGGAGTGCTTTGATCGGTCGTTGTCGTACCGAGGTCTTTTATCCAGTCGGTCGTTCGACGTCTCATTCTCCCTCTGTCGTTTCGTATTTACGAAGGACAGACCCGGCTCCCCTGAAGTACATTCTCTCTGGATATGCCCTGGCTGCTGACACTTGTAGCAGAACAAGGTTCCAGCTGGAGTTTTGCAGTTCTTTTTATGATGCCCGTTGCTTCCGCAGTTGAAGCACAAGTTGTGCGCAGGCCGTTCTCGATCAGGTCGTGTATTCATGGCGTTCGGCAGGTCTTTGTGGTGGCCAGTCTTTCTCGGAGCATGCTGCAAAAACAAGCATCTTAGTTTTGCTAGATCAAAAGTATTTTTGCCTTCTGTCTCTCTCATACAGTCGGCCGTTACTACATCTCTCACTGTTCGTCTGACAGCATTAATAAACAGACTACGTTGCTCATCTTCAGATACTTTCTTTCCCTGAATATGAGCTTCATAGATTCTAACGGTATTGTCAAATCTCGCGCAAAAATCAAAACCTGTCTCTTTATTACAGTCGTATTTGATATTAATTAAGTTTTTATAAGCAACGTGTTTAGTTAATCTTATCTCTTGCAATTTAATCTTTTTAATTTCCTTGATTAAGTCAATTGGATTAGATATATGAGAAAAACGGTCATTATATTCTTCATGAATATGATTGATGATTATATCCTTTACCTTTACATCATCAGACTCTAGTTTTAATTCATCTACCTCTTTCCTATCTGAGTCGTTTAACACATAGAATAATCTTTTTGCTTTCAACTCGGTAAACAAGTAATTTTCGAAAGTCTCGTACCTAGTCTTTTTAGTTAACGTATACCTACGGAGTACGTTCGATTCGTTATGATTAAAGTCAATACTTATTGAATTGTCACCCGACCGCGTTACATTATTTACTGTACTATTCAATTTCAACGATTTTTCTATTGTTTTTGTAATCAAATCAGTCAGAGTTGTGTTACTCACTTGTCTGTCACACTGTGAGCTGCTCACACCAATAGTAACGTTAGAGTTTACCTGGTTCATTGGTTTTGGAGTAGACGTGGTCGGTCCAAAGCCTCTAGTCATGGTGATAGCTGGGTCAGTCCTCTGTTCAGAGTTCTTCTCTTGGTCCGAATCCTCAATCTGTACCTCATCTATCACTTCCCCTTCTTCGAGCTCCTGCTGTTCGCTAGAGATGAGACCGGCAAATATAGTGCCGTCAGCCTATATTCAAGTTGCTGCAACAACTACAGTCGAGACAAAAGGATTTCATGCTGCTAGACAGAGCCTCTGAACACTAGTGGATGCCTGCAACGAGCATTTTACCCCAACCAACCTGAACACGAGTTTGGTTGCGGTAAGACGCCCTAGTCTTCATCCCACTTGGTGCACAGACCATTTCAGTACAACCAGAGGTGGTTAGGACCCTTTCGTCGTGTCAGTCTGTTGTGATCGGCTGCTGCCTTTCATCTGTCCAGTATTTCAGTTGCAGCTGAAATACCCAGTGCACTGTTCCGTCGTCAAATGTTTCAATTTGACTTAACCTTTACACAGTCATCAATTTTGATCAGTCTATTTTACTTTCTTACTCTAGTTGTTGCAGTCAGTCATTGTACTTTAAATTACATGCATATATTACAAAGAAATCTTACCAATCTCAATTCTCTCTTGATTTGTGAAATGCAGGATGAAGGGTTTATCACCCTGTGGAACAGTCAAGTAAATTCCTTCATTAGGAAGCCTGGTCTTTAGGGAGTAGAAATCCCATAGTTTTCTCCTTATCTCTAGGATCTTTGTCTTTTGATCAGTCGCTATAGGTGGAGACAGATAATTAATTTCAAATTAGTTGATTATCTTTTAACTAGTCACACTTTACTATTCATTTCATAAAAGTTGATCTGTTCAATTTTTTTTATTTTCAGTCGCATTTCATCTAAAAACATTCAGTTCACCGCTCGCGCGCTTACATATAGATGTCTATACCTATAGTTATATATATATGCAACGCCTTTGCTATACAATCTAGTCTATACCGTTCATGGCTGTTCGTGTACGTTCGGCTCGGCTTAGATGCGCGCGCAGTTCTTTCTCCTTTTGGCGGGTCAGCGTCGGTATGCTACCTCGTGCACGGCTCACGTGTTGCCGGCACTGGCTTTCCGCCATCTTGGCCAACGACCGTTGATTCCAGGAATCAACAGGTCGTTGCCTGTTTGACAGAAAGCCTTTGTCACATGTCGCGATTTCCCTCGTTCTAGCATTTTTTTTTTTTTTTTTTTTCGGAACTTTCTAATACTTAAATTTAGCAATTCGCGAATCTACGATTATAAATTCTTTTATTTTCGCGCACTTTTACGATTATAAACCACTTTTCATTCTTTCATGCATTCTCTCAATTTATTAATTAAACAAATTACATTCTATTACTTACTCAAATCTTTGATCGACTTTTGAACCTCCTTTTGAACCTCAGCCATCTCGGTCGATTTCTTTTCAAAACAAAGGGCCAATGCAGTTCGTCGTGTAAATCGCACTCGTGTTCGTTTTCACTCACTTTTCACTTTTCACATACCATTCACAGTTCTTATCGCGCGGTGGATGCGTGCTCTGGGCCCATAACCTGTTGGGTTATAGGGCAGGTGAAATGAGCAGAGTAAATGAATATCTTTTAACAAAGGATTTATTATCAGCTCTTAACACACGTCCGGCTCTTATGAGGCGTCAGCTCGTACTGGCGTCGCGCTCCGTGCTCTCGCGTAAAGGCGGCGCTACACAGACACATACATACAGTCAAGGAGAGAAGCATACATACACTCATACCTTAACAAATGAAATCCCTGTTAATTATAATTCGACACTCGATATCGTTTTTGCAAAATAAATAATTGAACGTTTATAACATTTTTCGCTTGTTTATTAAAAGGAAAAATGTAACAGCGATTTTCTTTAATATAATGGGGAAGCATATGGATACACTTATAGGCGTTTATAATTATAATATTTATTCTAGTCTCTTTCACAACATAAATAAGTTAAGCAGAGTAGAGATATACAAGGTGTCAAATAAGTAACGGAACAAGGCTGTAGCTTTTTAGGTACAGATTATTAGACCAAGGTCAAGGTCATTCCTTTAGTAACTTTCAACGCGGAATCCGATGGTGACCTTGGATTTGACCTTGAGATTGACCTTCAAGGTTATTTCAAGGTCAACTTTGTTTTTTTAAATGGGAACCCCTATTTTTGACAACGGCAATCGAAAGAGCGGAAAATTTTACGTCCAAAACGGTATTTTAAAATTTTTTTTCATGGCCTTGAGAAGGTCGATTTAAGGTCAAATGCTTGAAAAACTGCCTAAAAGAGTTTTTTTAATTTTTAAGATATCGAAAAATGACCTCTACAAAATTTGTTCAGAACAGAGTGGGCCACCCAATGCACCAAAAACCTTTGACCTTTAACCTCATTTTGAAGGTCATTTCAAGGTCGAAGTGTTTTTTGTAATGGAAACCCCTCTTTTTGACCCCGGATTAGCTCATAGCGCGAAATCCGACGTTTGGATAAGGTATTATGTTGAGTTTCGATTGATCCACGACGTTCATCGCTAAGGTCATGTGAAATTTAGATCCAATATTATTCGCGAAACATTTACAAAATGTTTCGGGCTAAATTTATTAAATTCTACTGAGAGCATGTTACAGTGACCTTATCTTTGACCTTTGATTGTTTGAATAATAAAGTAACGGGTTATCCAAACCGAAAGTCAAGTTGTTTTAAATGAGGAGCAAGCAGAGACATAGGTACAGTCTTTTTGCCGGATAAGTTTTTTCCACTCACTGCGTTTTGAATGTTTCTTTCTGATTTCGCGCTATATGCGAATCCGGGGTCAAAAAGAGGGGTTTCCATTACAAAAAACACTTCGACCTTGAAATGACCTTCAAAATGAGGTTAAAGGTCAAAGGTTTTTGGTGCATTGGGTGGCCCACTCTGTTCTGAACAAATTTTGTAGAGGTCATTTTTCGATATCTTAAAAATTAAAAAAACGCTTTTAGGTAGTTTTTCAAGCATTTGACCTTAAATCGACCTTCTCAAGGCCATGAAAAAAAATTTTAAAATACCGTTTTGGACGTAAAATTTTCCGCTCTTTCGATTGCCGTTGTCAAAAATAGGGGTTCCCATTTAAAACAACAAAGTTGATCTTTTAAATAACCTTGAAGGTCAATCTCAAGGTCAAATCCAAGGTCACCATCGGATTCCGCGTTGAAAGTTACTAAAGGAATGACCTTGACCTTGGTCTAATAATCTGTACCTAAAAAGCTGCAGCCTTGTTCCGTTACTTATTTGACACCTTGTATATATATATATATAAATTCTCAGAAGCGTAATTTTCGCCTCGCGATGTCTATTATTTTTTTGGTTACATAAAAAGTATTACTCACTTTGTATTAATATTGTAAATATAAATTGGTGCAAAATATTATTTGCTTCGTGATGTGGCCAGTCACTTTTTCTTTGAATCTGATCAGATCAACTGGTCCAATATATTTTTATCCAATAGTGTAGCAACACGCAAGAAAATGATAATTCGTATGATTTTCGTGGTCCAATATATTTTTTATCCAATAGTGTAGCAACACACAAGAAAATGATAATTCCTATGATTTTCCTTTACACAAAATTATTAAAACAATTGTACTCGACACTTCTAATACTTAATCGCAACTCGAACAATTATATTCTCAAACTCTTATTATGGATTTAACTTCAGTAGGAAAAATGCAGGCTTCTTAGTTGAGCGCTCACTCCTAACTGACTAATTCTCCAGCGTTGTTTTCGCCGGTTTATTATATAGCCTTTGTCCCTTGTATCCGTCTCTCTCTCGCGCATATGCTTTAGACGTTTACGCTCCTCGTATCGGCTCATCTTACCTAGCTAAGCACGCTGACTGCAGCATGCTGTCGCAGCATGCTAGCGCAGCGTGAAGCAGCCTCTGCTGCTCATTCCCACCGAGTCGCGCACACGAATACTGCTAGCTATACTATGTCCGAGCGGAAATCTCAAGAGCAAAATATTATTCGATAAAATATAATTATAACGTAATAAGATGTCACGTAACAGGTTGCAAATCCAGAATTTACACTACGATTTAAAACTAAAAGAACTGACTAAACAAAACGGAGTTCCTGAAACATCAAAAGCAACATCAAATATAAGGATCTTGTTATAATACGAGGGTGGTCCGATAAGTACTTAGCCTACAAAAGAAAAACGAAAATTTTGGAAAAGTGGCGTTTTATTTTTCAACATAGTCTTCTTGTAGTTCGATATACTTGGCCCAGCGATGCTCCAACTTCTTTAACCCGTCTAAAAAATACGTTTCCTCGAGGTCTGAAAAGTAGACTTCCGTGGCAGCGATTACCTCCTTATTCGACTCAAATTTCTGCCCGGGGAGTGACTTTTTCATTTGAAAACAAAAAGAAGTCGCACGGGGCTAAATCTGGAGAATACGGTGGATGGGGCAGGAGTTCGTAGCCTAATTCGACTAATTTGGCCATGCGATGGCGGAGGTGTGAGCCGGTGCGTTGTCATGGTGGAAGAGCACTTTTTTCTTCGCCAAATGGGGCCGTTTTTTCTGTAATTTAACGTCGAATCGGCCCAATAATTCGGCACAGTACGGCCCTGTGACCGTTTTGCCTCTCCCCAGGTAGTCGATGTAGATCACACCTTGTGAATCCCAGAAAACGGTGGCCATCACCTTTTCGGCCGATGGGGCAGTCTTCGCCTTCTTCGGAGCACTTTCGCCGGGTAAAGTCCACTGTTTCGACTATTCGTTGGTCTCTGGTGTATACCAGTGGATCCATGTTTCGTTGACTGTCACGAAACGACGCAGAAACTCCTTCGGATTGCGCTTAAACAGCGTCAGACATTACTCTGAAGTTGTCTCACGGTTGCGCTTGTTGTCCGGAGTGAGCAAACGCGGCAGCCATCGCGCCGACAGCTTTCTCATGCCCAAAATTTCATGCAGGACATGACCCACGCGGTCTTTTGAGATGCCTACGATCTTAGCTATCTCGCGCACCTTCAATCGTCGATCTGCCAATACGAGATCGTGAATATTTGTCACATCCTCCGTGGTAGCCGTTTTCGGAGCACCTGGATGGAGCACTTCAAAAATCGACGTGCGGCCACGTTGAAACTCGTTAAACCAATTTTTGACGGTCGCCATCGAAGGAGAAGAGTCACCGTACACAGCATCCAAGCGCTTTTTGATTTCGCTGCGCGATTTCCCTTCCAAAAACAAGAATCGAATCACCGACCGATACTGCTCTTTTTCCATTTTTCAAAAATCAACAGACACACTTGCTTTCATACGCTCTCAAAAATAAACTACAACTCCGATCCGGCTAA